GAGCCAAAGGGTCCTGTTAGCAGGAAACTCCAGAACACGCCCTGGTATCTGCTGGAGACACACCTGACCCTGCAAATTGGTTCTCTGCTGCTCAAAACCTTCCCGGCGCCTGTCCGGCCACGTGGAAATGAGTGGGAAGGCTGGATGCGCCTCCTTACACTCTTCCCAACACGGGTGACAAGCCTTTCCAGCCCAGTGGCTGGCCTTGGGAGAATTTCACGCCCCTTCACCCTAGTTACACAGCCTTGGTGCAGACCCTGTTCCCAGCACAGCGAGCCCTGACAGTATTGTGAAGGTAAAGCAGGAAGAATTGGTGCTGGTGCTAATTTAGTGCCCCTCCCTCACATTCATGACCTCCAAGGAGCTCGAAACACCTGCGGCTATAAACCAATGTTAAGGTAGCCCGGCCAGGCCTGCTGGTGCAGCCCTCGGGCAAGGCTGGCGCACGTGGAAGGTTCCAGGTTAGGGTCTGGAGCCTGCCTCAACATGCCAGCACACACATGCCATGACCTGGGGCTGCTGACCCTTGGGGTGGAAAATGGCCTCAAGACCCTGTGGAGGGGGGCCAGCAGTTAGCGTAATGGTTATGACGCTGAACTCCCATGTAGTCGACCGCGGTTTGAGTCCCAGACCCGGTGGCTTAAACTCACGTCAGGCACGTGTGCGTGCATGCCCAAGAGCCTGAGAGGAGAATGGAGGAGAAGGGATTGCAGCGTGGCCATCCCCCTTGGGAGGTGATTTCTCACTTTCTGTCTCTCTGCCTCTGCCTTTCTGGTGAGCGCACGTGCCCTATATCAAAAACCTCTTCAAAAAAAAAAAAAAAAGACCCTGTGGAGGGTGGGGTCTGGCCCCATAGCGCAGTGGCTGAGTGTTTGCCATGGAGATAGTATGTCTCACAACCGAGCGTGGTTTAGATCCCAGCCCCGCAGCTTGAAAAACATGTCAGGTGCATCCCCCAGAGCCCAACAGAAGGTGAAATAGAAAAGATTACAGTGTGAGTGCATCCCACTGGGGTTTTCTGTCTGTCTCTTTCTAGTGAGCATGCACACCTGCTGGTAAGAAAAAATATTTAATTAAAAGATAGGGCCTGTTGGGGGTTCTCTCTCTCTCTCTCTCTCTCTCTCTCAGAAAAGGTAAATAAACATTGTTAAATAAAAGGCAGGTTAAGGCAGCTGGATCCCACATGGTCAACTGTGTGGTTCGAATCTCTGATCCAGTGGCTTGAAAAACATGAGCTCATGAGCACCCAGAATCCCGAGGAGAATGGAGAAGGGATTGTGGCGCAGCTGTCCCCTGGGGCGGGACAGTTGGAGGGGGCTTTCTCTCTGCCCTGTTCTCTGTGTGTCTCTGGCAAATTCATGCACCCTGTAGCAAAAACTAAAAATAGAATAGCCTTGGGAGCCCCCATGAGCAGCTGAACAGCCTAGTGAGTCAGATCAGGAAGCCCTGTCACTCCTGCTTACTGTCTGTCAGTAGCTTCTCATTTTCTAGGATCAAAACTCCTGCCCCCAGCACTCATGTCCAATCTTCTCTGCCCCTCAGAACTGCTCTCGCTCTTTCTTGCCGTCAGACTTCACTTTTTCCGTGGGACCTACCCCACCTGCAGCACCCAGGGCAGGCCCGGCTCTCTCCCTGTCCCCCACACTGGGGAGCTGCGCCTGGGGACGTGATCCGAGTTCTCGTTCTCGTAAGCCGCTCCCCTCTGCCCTTGCTGTACTTTAATGGTTTAGTGCCCCAGCTACATCGTGACGGTCTATAGGGAGCACTTGCTTCCTGGACTCGCAGCTCCCTGGTATCTGGCATCCAGGAGGCGCCCGGGGACCAGTATGTGAAGTGGGGGTGGGGAGCAGACAGAGAAGTGCCAGGTGTGCTCCTGTGCTGACGGCCCCTGCCCCTCCGTCTCCGCCACCTTCTGGTATTTTTCTTCCTTATTCCCAGTTTGGTTTTGTTTTTGTTTTTGTTTTTTTCCTCAGTAAGGGAAAGGTAAAGAATCAATTGGAGGAGGAGGGTTGTTAGTACTAGCTATAGGAAGTAAAGATTTTTGCTGATAATTCCCTTTTTCTTTTCTTTTTTTTTTTTTTTTTGGTTAGTTTTTTTGCCATAGGACATATGTGCTTGCCAAATAAAGAGAAAGAAAGTGAGAAATCACCCCTAGGGGGTGATTAAGAATGGGTCCCTTCTCCATTCTCCTCCTGGGATCTTGGACAGACACACACACACACACACGCCCTGTGTCAGTTTCAAGCCACCGGGTCCAAGACTTGAACTATAGTTGGCTGTATGGGAGTCTAGCATCCTAACAACTTCGTCACCTGCTGGTCCATAATTCCCCTTTTTTATAGATTGGAAATTTTGAGAAAATATTTTTCTCGGTATTTACATTGCGAAGCTCTGGGGCTCAGAGATGCCCAGCGGGAATGCAGAGCGCCTCCTGCCCTGTACACACCCTCTCTGGTTTAGTTGGCCAAGAACCGGCCTTGCAAGGTGCAGGGGCACTTCCCCAAGCTGAGTCCTGACTTCTGCTAGGGAGAAGGGCCCTCGTGTGACGTGTCACCCGCTGCACTGTCTACCTCACAGGGAGAAGTCAGTCCCACAGCCAAGGCTATTCCTGTTGAACCAAAACACCCAAATCCTCTACACAAAAGCATGTACACACCATGCATGAGTATGTGTGTGCACGCACACTTGTACACACGTGTAGTGTGGTGTCCTAATTAGCCAGATGCGTTCAGTTGTCCATTTTTCTTGGTTTGAGTCAACCTGGAGACTGCCACACCTGGGAGACATGTTTTTGTTGTCACCATGGGGAAGGGACACTAGACCAGTATCTAGCGGGGGAGGCCCAGGAATGCTGTGACCACCGGGGACACTGGGCAGCCCAGAGTGACCGCAGCGCCAAGGTTGGGAAAGCCTGGCCTCTTCACGTCGGCCATCCTTTACATCAGTACATGCGTATCCTCATACTTCCCTAAGAGTCTGAAAGAAGATCATAGCAGCAGCTACGTTCCATGAAGAATTCACTGTCTAGTTGAGCTTCTCTTGAAAACTACTCAAAAGGAAAAAGTAACACTTATCTTCCAAAGGAAAAAAAAAAAAAGATTATCAATCACAAAGCACCTCCCCCTTTTTAGAGAGGTTTTTGCTAGGGCATGCGCCCTGACCAGAGGCATGTAGACAGTGACAGGGGAAATGAGAAATCCCTTCCAGGGGGGCAGGGATGGCTATGCTGCAATCCCGTCTCCATTCTCCTCCTGGGATTTGGGGGCATGCACGCATACACCTGGAGTGAGTTTCAAGCCACCAGGTCCGGGACTCAAACCACAGTCAGCCATGTGGGAGTCTAGCACCTTAACCACCACACCACCTGCCGGCCCCCTGCTGTATAAAACCCTTTTTCTCATTAACATCCTCCAGGTGCAGCTATGATGGTACATGCAGGGTGCCGCTCCGCCATGTCAGAACCATGTGAGAAGGCTGTGGGTTCAGTTCCTAAGATGACCTGAATGCTGCTGTGGGCACACCCTGATTGACTGGGAGGCTGGAGAGGGGATCGTGGCATGATGAAACCCTGTCACAGGTCTCTGTCTTTCTCCCTGTTACCTTCTCTCAAGAAATAAACTTTAAAAAAAATATTAAAACTTTCTACAGATAGGCTTTATCCCACCCCCCTTTAATTACCAGGGGGCACACAGGCTCATGAGAGAGAGAACGCCCCCAGGAGGCAAGGTTACACTGCAATCCCCTTTCCATTTTTCCACCCCATCAGCATTTCGGGCGCATGCGCACACAGCATGTGACTTGAGCTGCCCAGGTTGGGCTTGAACGCGGTCAGCCACGTGGGATCTAGTTTCCGATGCACTGCATTTAGCCACTTTGCTAAAGGAGCAGCAGCCCAAAAAGGGTTTTTTCAGCAATCATTCTGGCTCCAGCTTTTCTAAACCTCCCTAAGAATACATGAGCCAGCTGAGAAATGTGCCCAATTGCAGATAAGCAGGCCTATAATAGATTCTTTCCCCTTAAACTAAATTAAAATAAATCTAATAGGAGCTTAGAAGGCAAAGGGCCTTTGAGGCCACGGTATGATTTGTGAGAGTTGGGAACACCCTGGGTTTAATCTGTTGAGAGTCCTAGAGAACGGTACTGTCTTCATATTAACACTTCCTATGACGAGGATTTCCTTTGATTATTGGGTCATTTTCCATATTTTTTCACTCACAGTCATGACATATGCCATGGCTAAAATTGGTAGCCTGCACTTTTTTCCTAAGACATCATGAATAGCTTCTCATAGCAATTTTTAATGATCACAACTGCAAAATATTGGGTCATCGGAAAAGTCATGACATGTTTTTGTATGCAAAGCTGTGTCATGACATTTCTGATGACCCAATATATAGACATACCATAATTTATTTTACCATTCCCCAATTCATGGATTCTTAGTATAATAACAAACAGTTCAGAGATGAGCATTTTTTTTTTTTGAGAGAGGTTTTTGCTATAGGGCACATGCGCTCACCGGACAGACAGAGAGAGACGGAGAGAAAGAAAGGCAGAAAACTCCCCCCAGGGGGGATGGCCATGCCGCAATCCCTTCTCCTCCATTCTCCTCTCGGGATCTTGGGCATGCACACACATGCGCCCAGCGTGAGTTTTAAGCCACTGGGTCCGGGATGTGACCCACGGTCGACTACGTGGGAGTCCAGCCACATAGCCATTACGCCAACTGCTGGTCCCCAGAGATGAGCATTTTTATATGCCGGTCTTTGTGTCTGCTTATTCCATAAAAGGAATGGTTAGAATTAGAATCTCCAGGTAATTTTCACCGGAAAGGAACATTTTAAAATCTCTTGATAAATAATGCCATATGATATTTTAGAAGCTTGTACCATTTTATACAAATAATGATTTTCATACTGATACTGCAAATTTAGAGAACGTTTGCTTAGTCTGTGAGCTGTAATTGGATGAGTCCCCATGGCTTCTAACAGCATTTTATAACCCTGTAAGACAGCATTTATCAGGGTGTATTCTTTTTTTTTTTTCTTTTTTAAGGCTTTTGTTGCCACAGGGTGTGTGTGATCACCAGAGAGAAGCAGAGAGACAGTGAGAAGGAAGTGAGAAATTAACTCTTATGGGGATAAGGAGATGGCCACGCCACAATCCCTTCTCCATTCTCCTCCTGCGATCTTGGGCACACGTGGACGCATACTGGCGTGATTTTCAAACTGCCAGGTCTGAGACTTGAACTGCTGTCAGCCATGTGGGAGGCCAATGCTATAACCCCTAATGCCACTTGCTGGCTCCAATGTGTATTATCTTTACCAGCATTTCTCTACAGAAATTCTGCAGCGCCTCACTGCTTATCCTTTGTAGCCCAGCACTGAGAACCATGAACACCCCACAGGCACAGGCACGTCCCAGGTAAATCTCAGAACAGTAACTGTCGCAACCTCCACTTCCCTGCAGTGGATACCTGACAGGGGCGGCTCACAGGCGGAGAGCTGCGCTCATCTGAACAGCCCCGACCACTCTCCAGCGCGTAGTCGTTTCTTCCAAGGTCCAGATGGCTTCCATGTGCCCTGCTGATGTTCCTCCTGGTTCAGGCCCGGTGTGAGCTGAGCGTAGGTAATACCTGCAGTGACTTTCCATGACTTAGTGCACCTTGCCTTGAGTCACTCCAGAACCTGAGAAGTGACTAGTGCAGAGCTCAGCCGTCCTGCACGCCTGCAGACTTTACCTTGGCAGAGTGTCTGATGCGAGATGTTAACTAGTGCTGGGTAGTCATTAGATAGTAAATGCCAAGAAAAACAATGGGTGATATAAAGAAAGAAGTGTGCATCCCTGTCTTCTGCCTTCCCAGCTCCAGTCTCACAGCTCTTAGCATCACCCCAGGGATTTGCGGTCTTGTTTGAAGACAAGATCAGTTCCGTAATGTCAGAATTGTTCTTGCTATGGTACCGAACTGGGTAGAGGCTAGCAAAACAGCCCGCCCCTCGCTGTGTGACTTGAGGATTCAAAGCCCCCACCTCCCGCCTGCCTGGTCTTAACCTCACAGGGTGCCCAGAATTCCCAGTTAATAATTCCTTTGGGACCAAGGCCTTAAAAGACCATCTTGTCATTTTTCTTTTAAACATTTTATTGGGGGGCCGGCAGGTGGCATGGTGGTTAAGGCACTGAACTCCCACACGGCCAACCGTGGTTCAAGTCCTGGACCTGGCAACTTGCTTTCTCATTTTCCCTTTCTCTCTCTCTCTCTCTCTCACTCTCTCTCTCTCTGTCCCTCTCTGATCAAATTAAATAAATAAACAAATAAAGTTAAATAAAATAATTCTTAAAAAAAAAAAAGAAACATTTTATTGGGACCAGCAGATGGCATAATGGTTACATCACTGGACTCTCACATAGTCGACTGCAGTTTTAGTCCCAGACCTGGCAAATTAAAACTCACACTGAGCATGTGTGCGTGTGTGCTCAAAATCCTGAAAGGAGAATGGAGGAGAAGGGATTGCAGTATGGCCACCCCCCCAGGGGGTGATTCTTGCTTTCTGACTCTGTTTCTCTCTCTCTCTCTGTCTCTCCAGCAAGTGTGTGTGCCCTATAGCAAAAGTCTCTACAAAAAAAAAAATTATTGCCAGAGGGGCGTAAGTGCTTGACAAAGACAGAGTGAAAGAAAGAAAGCACCCCCCTCCCATGGGTGTAGCCATGCCACAGTACTTGGGGTGCACAGGTGCATGTGCACACATACACACACACATACACATTTGTTTTCCAAGCCACGCAGACAGACGTGAACTGAGTCAGCGTGTGGGATGCGGATCTCTGCACAGGGTCTAATTGCCGCACTTGCCGTGGACAAGTGATACTTAGGACAGTCACACAGCAGGACGTCACTGATCTCTGATAGCACAGTATCAGCTGGTGGCTCGGATTAGCCAGGCGGGTCACCAAAGGAATGGAAAAGCGCAATAAGCATCTCCAAGCCCAACTCCTTCACTCAGTGAGCTCCCAGGAACCAGTGAGGAGGGAGCATTGAGAGCCCTTGGCCTGACCAGGAGTGCCAGCCAGCAGCCACGGCACATTTGCCTGGGCCTGGGGAGAACTGGGGCACCAGCCAGCAGCCACGGCGCAGAGCCTGGGCCTGGGGAGGAACAGTAGGGCCACGGGAGAAGAACAGCACCACCCGTGTAAGGAAGACTCCTACCACCACCACTGCCCTGCCTGCCGCCTCCCCCGAGGGCACAGCTCACAGCCTGCCTTGGGAAGTGCTGAACAGACAGACTAGGTCACCACTCCTCCTACCCTACGAGTACACGTGGAATATTGGTTGGTTGATTGATTGATTGATTTTTAATTCAGCCAGAGAGAGAGGAAAAGTGAAAAAGCAAGTTGCCAGGTCCAGGACTCAAACTGCTGTCAGCCACATGGGAGTCCAGTGCCTCAACCACCATGCCACCCACTGGCCCTGCACAGTGCAACACTGGCAGAGTAGGAGGAGGGAAGCACTTGTACTCTTGCTAGCAGTTTTTTTGTTTTGTTTTGTTTTGTTGTTTTTCCCTAAAGAATTCTCTTATTGAGACCAGCAGTTAGCGTTATGGCTATGTTGCTGGACTCCCATATAGTCGACCCAGGTTCGAGTCCCGGACCCGGTGGCTTAAACTCACATGGGGCACGTGTGCGTGTGTACCCAAGATCCCAAGAGGAGAATGGAGGAGAAGGGATTGCAGCATGGCCATACCCCCTGGGGGTCATTTCTCACTTTCTTTCTGTCTCTTTCTGTCTGTCTGGCAAGCGCACACGCCCTATAGCAAAACTCTCCAAAAAAAAAAAAAAAAAAGAATTATCTTATTGAACTTTATTTATTTACTTATTTAAATTTGACCAGAGAGAGACAGAGTGAGAGAAAGAGGGAATGTGAGAAAGCAAGCTGCCAGGTCCGGGACTCGAACTGTGGTCAGTCATGTGGTAGTCCAGCGCCCTTAACCACCACACCACCTGCTGGCCCCCATTAGCAGTTTTCTTCACACATAACTCTATGGTGCTGATTTTTAAAAATTGAAAAAGATTGTTAATATTCATAGACGTGAAATTAGTTGACAAAGTATGCTAAGATTGCCAAAATTGATGGCAGTGAGAAGCTGAGTGCGACTTCACTGCCTACACGTGAGGGCTGAGTGAGCCCTGCCCCACACAGTGGGACCCTGTGAAGTCACGACAAGGAGACGGGGCCCAGAGTGGCACAGTGGCCCATCACGATGCTCCACAAGGCTGACCCACGTGGAAGGTTCCAGGCTTACACCCACACACCTCCCTGAGTTTGCTGGGCATGCCTAAGCCTGTAATCCAGGCCTGCCTTAGGCTGGCCGAGGATCAGGGCTTCAAGACCCTGTTAGGGGTGGTAGACAGAGAGGTAGCTCTCTGTCTCTGTCTCCATCTCTCTCTCTGGCTCCTGGAAGAAATACTTTTTTTTTAAAAAAAAAAAAAAGGATGCACACCAGGGCCAGCAAGTGGCATAGTGGTTAAGGTGCTGGACTCCCACTTGGCTGACCACGTTTCAAGTCCCAGACCTCACTTTCGCTCTCTCTCTCTCCCCACCTCCTGGTCAAATTAAAATAAATAAGTAAAGTTAAATGAAATACTTAAAAAAAAAAAAAATCAGAGGATACAGGGGCCAGTAGTGGCATGGTGCTTAAGGCAGCTGGTTCCCACATGGCCAACTGCTTGGTTCAAGATCTGGACTCAGTGCTTAAACGGCTCTAGGCATGTGAACTTGAGTGCCCCAAGTCCCGAGAGGAGAATGGAGAAGGGATTGTGGCGTGCCCATGCCCCTGGGGGGTGATTTCTCACTTTCCCTCTCTCTTCCTCTCTCTCTTTTTTTGGCACGCGCACATGTCCTATCAAGATTCAAAATAAAACCAAGGGTAACACATTCAGCGTCCAAGGCCAGGGACAGCAGCCGATGCTCTGCAGTGGAAGAGCCAGGGTGTCATAACGGAACCCGGGTTGCCCGTCCCTGCACAAGAACTGCGGCTGCCCTCTGTCTTCTGGTGTGATAGCTCTCCCTGCGTGACAGCCTCCTGCCTGGATCTGCTCACTCATGGGCTAGATTCTACCCTGCAGTCCTTCTTTAAAAAGAATTATTTCATTTACTTTTATTATCATTATTTTTTAATTTTGACAAGAGGTTGAGAGAAAGCAAGTCACCAGGTCTGAGACTTGAACTGTGGTTGGTCATGTGGGAGTCCAGTGCTTTAACCACCAC